GAAAATTGAATGCAGGGCTGATGGTAATCTTGAATCGGAGTTCTTGTCTCTCGTTCCGGGAAACTTAGGGAAAGCTTATTGTTCTGTCTACGATTTCGAGTCGGTTCCCGTTTTTGCCCCGGGCGGAACTGCGGAACTGGTTAATTTCATTTCGATGGAGATCTCGGGGGAACGTTCTCGTTTTTCCTTTCAACGAGACTCGCGAGGAATTTAAATATTTGCGGACGAGTGTCGACGCTTCGCCGAGATCAAACGGTCATGTTTGTGATACTAAGTCTCGAGCGAATTATTCAACTACTCAAACGGCGAGAAAGTACACGGTTCCCTTGCTCCATATTATCTAGACGTTCAATATCTAATTTAGCAGAATCTACGGAAGATTTCCTATACTTTAAAGAATCCCCTTCGGCGAAGGGTTAATACAACATCGATGAAAATCCAGCGGCGATATTCTCATATTTTCCCCGAGAAAACTCGCGGAAAATTGATTAAGTTCCGACGAAAATCTCTAGTCGGTTCTCATCCCTCGATCGAGGAGATCTGGGCGGAGCTCACGCATCGGTTGCATATTCTCGCGACTCGTTCGCCGGAACTTCCGAAAAATTTGATGTAATTCCGATGCGAATCTCGAGCCGACATTCTCGCCTCCCTCGCTGCGGAAAAATTCTCGGGGAACACGCCGCAGCCCCGATGAAAATCTCGATGTCCTCGTTTCTCTTTCCAAGTTAATTCGCAAAAAGACGCTTCGCTCTTCCCGAGGGCGTGTCAGAGGAGTCCCTTAATTGAAGGAGAGGGTTCGAGCTCGCCGGTACTAGGAATTCCTTCCGATCCGATCAGGAATTCCCGTTGAGTGCGTAGTTACCGTAAAGCCTCGTGCGCGCGACGAGGATTATTAAAAGGGACCGGAAGAAGCGGGAAAAGAAGCAACGAAAAAGGGGGGGGGAAAGGCGAAAGGGAAGAGAGCCACGGCGAAATTCGCGTCGCTGGAGATAAGAAGGCTACTGCCGGGTATCCGGGGAAAACGATCAATAAGAAAACGCCCTCGGTTCCCGGGTATTTACATATTACGCGGATAAAACGAACGGGAGGATTCGCGTCTAATATATCGCGTCATCTCGGTGTTGGGAAATCGAAATGTAATGCTGGGTAGCCGTCGATGGACAGATCGACAGATGTACTAAGCGGGAGCAATGATTAACTATCCACAATCCTTGCGCTACACTGTTATCAACTTGGGTGCATAAACATTTCCATTCGACGTCGCTTATCAAGCTCGTTACAATTTGTCAATTCAAGGGCGTCGGTCTTCAATGACTAACGCGACGCTTAACATGTTAAACGAACGTGTACACTCGTCGGTAGTCAACCCTCTGCGGACGAGAATTCTTTGAAATATACGAAACCTTCGACGCATGAAGCTGAATTATATATCAATCGCTTAATTAACGCTAGAACTACCGAGCATTTAATTAAAAACAGCAGTTCCTATAAAAACTGTAATAGATTATTTTCAGTTTCTTCGGACATTCATTATAGTACTGAAATGAAACTATTTATTTTCAAAATCATTTCGAATATTCAATGCCTCTTGCGGTTCGACTAATTAGATCATCTGTCCATCACTTAGTCTTCCAGATCTGAACATTTCGTCTCACCGAAATGCCGACAGCCGTCCGCAAAGAGTTAATCGAGATGAAATGAATCTCCCGGCAGGCTATAACTGTTTCCTCGTTTAGAGGAAGCAGTAGCATCAGTTATGAAGAAAATGTAAGGAAACCAAAGTCTTCTCGCAAACCGATTCGGTGGTCGAAAGGCTAAACTTATTCGAGAAACATACGCCATCGTCGTCAAATGAAAACGCGGGATTGATAGTGCAGCCGGAGAAGGAAAGAGGACGAGGGAAAAACGAAACAGGACGAACGAACGGACGGTAGGCAGGTATTAGCTCCATGGTTGGGAAAGTAATTACTTCGCTGCCTTCTTTTCTTGTTACCGTGACGCGCTCGAGCTCCGAACGAAAGCGGAAGAAAGAAAGAAAGCGCGCGGAGAGGGACAGAGAGAGGGAAAAAGGGAAACTACCACCCTGTAAAACCTTCAATTACGAGCAATTTGTATACTTCAGAGACTCGGAAGCGGACGAAATCCTCTTTGAAGAATGAAACATTTGTCGGAGCGAATTCCGTGAGAACGCTCGCTCCGTAGTTTTTGCGAATTAACTCGCCAACGCGCCGGCCGACCCGCAAAGAATCGGGGAAAGGATTTCTTGCCGCCATTATATCGCGTTTCCGGCGCCGGGCCGGGATCAAGCGTTTTCGGGGCTCGGGGGTGAGCTCGCGAAACGAAAAACGGCTGGCTCTGTTCGGCCGCTTTAATGGCTAATCGCTTTAACGGCGCAGAGAATCAAGGCTTCCGAAAGTTCTCCGTGGAAGAAGCGAATGTTCCGGGTTGTACAATCTTTGGCGGTGATTTAACTTTAGCTGCTGTCGGGAAGGCAGCAAGAAAGCGTTGATGAGTACTTTGTATTACTTGGTCACTGAAATAATGAATTTTCGGATGTCCGAATTGTTTAATCGTTGTATGATTGAACGACTGAGTATTTGAGTCTTCGAACATTCGAGTCTTCAACGCTTCGAACCTTTGAATCATCGAATTTTTGAATTTTTTCGGGACTGAATTTTATCAGAATCTCAACCCCTTTTCACTGCTATCGAAGAGGTATTACGCAAAGCGTTAATGAATCTTCGTATTATTTGGTCACTGAAGTAATGAATGTTTGACTGATTAAATTGTTTAATCGTTGAATGTTTGAATGACAGAACAACTGAGTGTTTATCTTGGAACCTTCGAAACTTCGAACCTTTGAATCATCGAACTTCCGAATATTTTGATCTTCCAGCCCTTGCACGTTTCAATTTTAAAGCATCTTCACCTGCGAAGCACTGAATGAAGTACTAAACAACAAAGAAACCGAGTTCAAATAAAAACTCGCCCGTAATTTCCAAACGACTCTTCAGTCTCAGTTTATTTTCCGTGAGCGACAGAACGCAGTTACGGGCCGGAGAAAAGCCGCAGCAAGAGAAAGAAAGGAATCAAGAAAGAAAGAAACGGCGGAATCTCATCCCTCGGAGTGACCAGACGCTCGAGATTCAGCAGTTTTCACGGTCCGCGTGCCTGACTATATTATAGTCGTTCCGGCAGAGAATTTATGCCGCGCGGAATTGCTTTCACCCGACAGCGGCGGAATTATTCATAAAACAGCGATATCTTCGGGCACGCTAAATTCGCCCTTCCGCCTACTTTTAATCCTGCCCGGGTGACCTTTCGTCTTAAACGGTCCTCCGATTACCGGCGAATAAAATCGGACCTCTATCGGAGGGTTCCACGCCACTTCCGAAAGTTCACTGTTCAATTCACTTGCTCGACAACGCGGAATGTCGGATAGTCAGGTGAAAGGGCAAATGCCAAAGGTCTCGCAAACCATGCGTCGCAACTAAACCGTGGATTTTATGTATTCGTAGTATCCAGAAGAAGAACCAAGCTTCTCAAGCTTTAAGACGCTTTTTACTCGAAGCTCTGAACTTACCTGATTAACTCGCGAGCAAACGAGCGCGCCGATTTTATCTAAATTAATCCTTACATCTGCGCGAGTATCAGCGTACGCGATTTCTGGAGTACCGATGTTTCTAATTGCAAGATTAGATTAACAGCGATACGAAACCGATCGAGACGCATATTAATACAAATAAGATTATATTCTGCTTCGGTCTGTTCGAAGAACTCTGAAATTCTCCCTTGTATCTTTCACCTTTCACTAACCCAAAAGGAAACCACCTACGCGAGAAACACGCAGAACCTTCGATACAGATCCAACGGAACTCGAAAAGAAAAATTACAGAAAAATCCTCTCGATCGTCTCCGCGAGCTTCGACATTGAAAAGGAGCCCGTGTCCTTGAAATTTTACAAAATTAAGGCAACGAACGGTCCGGAGGCCGCCGACAATTTTCGAGCGGGTCTTAATGAAAGTTAAACTCGTTAACATGCGCGCCTTCGACTTACGTGTACACGTGTGCGCACGATACATCGCGTGCGCGTCGCGTTACGTAATTCTATCGGTGGATAAGCCGTTATCTCTGGCCACGGTATCGAACAGGGATATTGTTCCTGCCTGCGCGCTGATAACACGGGGCCCGCGACCCGGGCAGACGTTATTACGCCGCCTCGCACGTGACGAAAGGCTCGTTAGCGGACGCGGCAGCCAGGATTCCCTTCGGTCTTCGAATCGCGTGGGCGGATCAACTGCCGAAGGGAAGGCTCTATTTCTCTCGTCGATGATCGTGGAACGTCGTACTCGAGTGTACACGTCTGTCCCTTCGGACGAAGATTCTTTAACCTTTGCTCTCCGAATTTCTTTACATTCTTTCGTCGATAACTCTGTTATTACAGTTTCTTTGGAATGCATTTGAAAATTCTTAGTTTATAGAAAGCGGTGTAAATGATTCTTTTTAGTAATAACATTGAGAATAACGTAATATAATCTGTTTGACGAATATCTTGACAAAGCTCTGAATAAAACGGATGAGTCACTAAAAGATGAAACTGACCCCGAATTTCTCTACATTCTTTCGTCGATAACTATCATTACATTATCTTTGGAATGCATTTGAAAATTCTTAGTTTATAGAGAGCGGTGTAAACGATTCTTTTTAGTAATAACATTGAGAATAACATAATATAATCTGTTCGAAGAATATCTCGACAAACCTCTGAATAAAACTGATGAGTCACTAAAAGATGAAATTGAGAACTTTTTCAAATTGAGAGTATTTCAAATATGCGAAAGTTTAAGTGTTCGTTTTTACGAAAGATTTGCAATTAAGTTTCTATACTCGCACAGACAGAAGACTAGGACCCTTCGAACCTCGACAAATGTATTGTTTTCGAGACAATTAATAAGTCAGTCCAATTTCTGCTACTAATCATCAGTTTTCTTTCGTTTCAGTTGCCGATCTCGAGCCCCCGATACAAAGGAACGCGAGGAACGAGGAGTACAAGCGCACCGACGTCACTGGAATAATTAAATGTGGACGTTCACACGGATGCGAGAGCGAATTGGCCGGTAAAGGAGTTTAAAAGGGCCAATGCGCAGGGCCCGGGGGTTTCCTTCCCAGGAATTATGGTGCCTGGCCGCGTGGGCTGACCCCTCGGTGTGTTCTGCGGCCGTCTCTCGCGGAAGTCCGCCATTAAAACAGCTGGATCGAGCCAGATCTCGCGAGACGAATCTAGCCTCTTCACTGTCACGGGTCTGACCTCGGGTCTCGGCACCGGGCCATCCCTCTTCCGAGTCCCCGGGAGCCTGTTCGGGGATTCCACGTCCAATAAAGGCACCCCTGACTCCTGCGGGACGTGTTTACATCGGGAGATCATGCCTATCCCGCAACGTTGCCCTAGATATACACGTCGCCTCTGTACAGGGACTCCACGAACTGCCTGTAATCCGGGGACTCTATGACGTGTTGCGGTCCAGCTACTTTTAACCCTTTGCACCCTAAAGGTGACTCTGTCGCCATTCGATTTGACATAGGAAAATTGTAAAGCTTTACAGACAATATTAACCCTTTGCACTCGAGAGCCTTGCAGTCGCCGTTCGATTTGACCCAAGAAAATAAAATCAATACAAAATCAATAGGAAATAATGAAATCTCAAATTCAATATTACATTGTCTGTAACGTATCAACACGTGGAACGTCGGAATGAAATAGTTCTGTCACGTAATTTATGCAAGGTATTTCTTTATGTTTTAGTGTTACTTTGTAAAATCCATTCGAGAGAACCGAGATTTAAGTTGTAACGAAACAAAAAATTGAAGATTAATAAAGATTGAAGAAACAGATGGATCGAGTTCACTCGTCTGTTGCATTTATTCGATCTCTGATCGATTCCTGTACGTCTTTCGTCTACTCGCCGAAGGAATCGTTAGAAACAATAATATCTTGAATATAGTGGCTTCCACTGAATCGTATTATACTGATATTTCAAGGTAAATTATCTTTGAATCATTGTCACAGGCATTCAATCCCTCGCCTTGAGATATCAGTTGGTTTAACCCTTTGCGGACGAATGTCGACGAATGATTTAATTATTCAAACAGTAAGAGATCAGCATATAGCGTCTGTTTTTCCTATTATTTAGGCAACTGATACATCCTTCAGTTTCGTCTGCCGAAGATCTCGTGTACTTCAACGAATCTTCGACCGCAAAGGGTTAATCCTGCTTACCAGAATGTTCGACTCCCGAAAATCACACGGCTAACAGATCAAGATACCACAACGACATCCAGGAATATCCCGCGATAATTCTAGCAGTCTGAACGGAAGACAACGGGATCGTAACATGAATTCCGGAAGGCGTGGCAGCGGCGGCAAAGCTACTGGTAAATATCCTTCGCATGATTCACCACCGCTATCACTGCCAGCCCGTTCTCCGAGCCATCCCCGGCACTGCGGTTCGCCGATATCGCGCTACCTATCGATCAACGAATCGCGCTGTTGCCCCACCGGAAGCTTTATTTTCCCTTACCGGCGAAATTGAAAAATTGAAAAAATCAACGTACAATCGCATCGTACATTACAGGCTTCCTCACTGCCGCCGAAACAGAAGCTGTGGACCATTCTCAACGAACAGCGGATGGATTTTTACATATTACTCTCTAGAGGTTCTTCTAATAAAAATATTTACTCGGCTAGAAATTTCAGATGTAACATTTGAAATTTGAAACTTACAGCGCATATAAAAATCCAAAGGCTGATGCAGTTGCGTCGAATCATCTGCTTAACCCTTTGCGTATGTCGACGTTTTGTCGAGGTCAAACCTTATTTGGAATACAGAATTGCGAACGAATGATTTAATAACAAACAGCAAGGGATCAGTACCTAGTTTCCTTTTTGTCTATTATCTAAGCATTCATACCTAATTTCGCAGAATCTGCAGGAGGTTTTGTATATTTTAACCCTTTGCACTCGGAAGCTTCTCGCAAGAAATATTCAACATAGGTAAATTAAAAAACAAAGCTATTTTATATAAATGTTTCATATATTGATGCATTATACGAAACATAATATTACATACAACACTTTGTAATTTAAATCGAATCGAACGGCGACTGAGAGTCACCTCTCGAGTGCAAAGGGTTGAAGGACCTTCGTCCGCGAAGGGTCGATTGTGTCCATAAAATTGAAATTCAAAGGGCTGTCGCAAGTGTTTTCACCGAGGATATCAAACAGCGAAGAAATCTCGGTCTAAGATGCTCGTGCACGCGTGAGCGCGTCTTCCAGCGAACGCGAGGAAATTGAAATTAAATCGGGCAGAAAGCGGCGATGCGACAACGGGTCGCCGGAAACCGCCATGTTCACGGGGAGTACCCGTCGCAGCGGCAAACACGCCGGGGAATCACGTGCACCTGCCGCTCCGCGCTGAGAATTTATATTTTATCTAGACGATGCAATTTCCAACCGGTGCCTGGAACCGGGGATCACGATCGATCCGCCGTCTATAATACTTCTCGGGGTGTCATAAGACGGAAATAGTGTTTTACGATGGCACTCGAATCGGGAAAGAAGCCTCGTCGAAACAGATACCGCTAATTCCAACCGCGTTCGACACAGTCCGCGCCGCTAATAGAATCGGAGCTGGCATTAGGCTAATCCATCACGCGAATAAAGGTAAAATCGTCCGCGTATGCGGCGAACACAATTACTCCGAACGCGAGAATCGATGGAAATATTTGAATCATTCGTAAACGAATATTTCTGGCTTCCGTGGGAGTAACTTCGGCAATTTCTTCCTCTTTTATTAGGTTTCTCGATGAACTGTATTTAGACCGTGTCTAATTATTGTGCCGTGAACGTGAAAATTTGAAGCTTGAAGTTTCACCCTTAATGTGATTATTATTAGGTCACTTTATTATTCTTATCACTGTTATTGTTACATTTACAATCAACGCGTCGAGTACCATGCTAGGTCATCTGTGAATTTCTTTCTCCTTATTTATGTCACCGTATATTTCGCGATAAACTTGAAATACTTCCGGTCCGTTAACCCCTCGCCTTAAAATAATGTCATTGAGTTGTGTTGAGTTCAAATGAAACATTATTGTTCTTGTTAGCAATTTTCTGTTACTAGTGCATTATCAACGATAAATAGCTAACAAATGCACCTACGAAATTCAGTCTTAAGGCAAGGGGTTAAGGGTTAATAATTGAACATCGAAATAACGTAAAGATCGAACTGGAGCATTTATTATTATTGAACGACGCCAACTATTACAGGCATTCGTGAATCATTCGTAAAGGTTGTTCTACGAAGAAGAAATCCTACGACCACGTCGCAACGTTGCCGAATCGGGCTGAAGAGAAATTGGACGAGGAAATACATTGGAACGGAGTGGAAGAAGCGTGTGCACGGCCCCCTGACACACATCGACTCGTTAAAATAACGACATAATGGCTAATTTAGCGATAATAAGCGCGAACCGTATCGTTCAAATTAGCGTCGAAGGTGAGACGAGATTGACGGAGAGGGGCTCGCTCGAGGAGCGAGGAAAAAAGAGGAAAGATAACCGGCGCGGCGCGTTGGAATTCAACCGCGCGTCCTCTTGTCCAACGGCCGCCATCTTCCGGTCATCTCGCGAAACACATTCTTCCAGCCAGGAGCGTAACTCCGGGGATTCCCCCGTATTGCGAGCGTTCTTATCAGAAACTTACTAGTATTTCAACAATTATTTCGAAATTGCGAATGACGGCGGAATGTTTATCGCTCGAACTATTCGGTTGTCGATATTTCAACAACTAGGATATTAATTAGAATTAATCAAACTTGCATAGGTTCATATTCTTAGAAACCAGTTTACAAACTGCAAACTGATTATAATTCGAACTGAAATAAAAATTCCACTGATCTTTCGTGGATGTTCAGTTTACTAGATTATATAATACTTGGCTCTTTATAACATAACCTCAATTGTTCTGAGGTTAACAAATTCGATCAATTGTAGGTGATAAAAACTACATTCTCTCTATTGGACTTACGCGAAAATCCATTGAAAACGAAATATTAAAAAGGAAAGCTGGTATAAGCTTCAAAAATACCAATTTATTTCGCATAGCTTACCAAAACAAATAATAATAATAACATTCTCGAAAAGAAAAGTATATTTCATCACTAAATTCAGATCGCGCGTAGAAACTACCGCGTGTCCCAATTCACGCGTGAAAAAGGTCCGCGTAAATCGAGGGTCAGGCGTGAATAGAAGCACGCACTGGCGTAGGGAGCGGAGAAAACGTGGAAAAATACAGGACGCGAGCGCAGGGAACGGTACGAAACGGTCATTATCGGTCGAGGTCGACGACCTTCGACGAAACGGTCGCAACGACCAAGAGGAGTAATCGCGGAAGCGGTTGTAGAACAATATTTTCAAATGATCGCTCGGCCATGCGAGCCGAATCACGCGTGCTTAACCACTCGCGCTGGAAATGAATTCCGAAATTTGGCAAAGTCTCCTGCGATGAATTTTGTTTTCACATATTTTACGCTGATACGTACAATTTCGTTTGTTAATCATTCTGTATAGAGTGATACATTTCGAGTAATCTAATAGGCGTAATGCAACAAGATTATCACTGATTGTGATTCGTTCGAACAATTATCTCGAAACTGCGAACGACAGAATATTGATCATTCGAACCCTTCGGTTACCAATATTAATTAGAATTAATCAAACTTATATAGATTCATATTTTTAGAAACCAGTTTCAGAACTTCAAACTGATTAGAATGAAAGACATCATTGAGAATTTTGGGATAGAAACGTCTCGTGCGTGGCACGTCTTTCCAACGCAAGTGGTTAAGCGTAACTGAAATTTTTCGTCGAGCTCCGGGGACAATGGGCAGCTCCCGCTAATCAGCATTGTCGTAACCACAGGGGGGCCAATTTTCTGTATTATGCTCATCGTTATGCGAACGGCTCATCCGTGGATCCTTACGGAATTTAGGTCGCGCCTTGTGATACATAAAAATGAGGCGACCGGTTTCCGTGTTCCGACCAGTGGCATCCTGCCAAAACACAAACGAATTCGGTGGTATGTATTCATGAGGGACCGGGACATCCCCTACATGGGATTTGTTATTCATGTGTAATGATATTAAATTCTTTCAGCAATTAGAGAAGAATGGCTCATTTGTACGACTCTGTAATTTCAATGATGGTTTCGGTGAAGCTTAAGCATTGAATTGTTATTACTTTATATCAATTAGTTATTGTCTAAAGTAATGATATTAAATTCCTTCAGCAATCAGAGAAGAATGGCTCATTTGTACGACTCTGTAATTTCAATAATAGTCTCAGTAAAGCTTAACCACTGAGTTATTATTTTAAATCAGTTGACTATTGTCTACAATCATTATTGTACAGTTAAATTTAATAAAATTCTGAAGGAGAGTGAAAGTTTGCTTCTACTCTAGTTTATTTGATTACACCTATGTTCATGAGATTTTTATAATTGGAGAATAATCAGCAACCATTGTGACTATTAAATGGCAGCGTGCGTTTGAAGGGGGTTGGAAAGGACAAAGTTCAAGGCTGACCACTGACATTATCGGTAAAGGGGAGAGAAAAGTGAGTAGGGTGCCTAGGATTTTCTAGGGGATTCCGCTGTCCGTCACGTCAGTTTATCCCGTGGGACGGCGATGATTACCACTGGCCAGACCTTGACACAAATCTAGGCAATGAAATTTGTCGAGCTATCTCCTGTGCCCTTATCGTGAGAACGCTCGAAGCTCGATTTTTGTGAAACAAATTATTACTCGTCACTGAGAAAAAGAACGTGTTCGTCTGTCAATAGGAATTCCTAAACATTCCTTATCAGCAACGGAACGTTCGTCCATTTATCAAACTTCCTTGATAACGTATTATGTGTATATAGATCAAATTTAAAGAGACGTAGATGTAATTAATTTAAATAACTAAATATCAACGGTGTATTTAATTTCACTTCATTCTATAGTTATTTTATGACTCCCTTGATAACATACTATGTATACATGAATCAAATTTAAAGAGACCTAGATGTAATTAATTTAAATAATTAAATATCAATGGTGTATTTAATTTCATTTCATTCTATAGTTATTCAAATAAATTCTTCGGTAACGTACTATGTATATACGAATCAAATTTCAAGAGACGAGGATGTAATTAATTGAAATATTTAAATATACCAGCGGTACATTTAATTTAATTTCATTCTATAATTATTCAAATTGGGAAATCAATTATACTCGAAAACGATCATACGTTCCATTCAATTTTCCTTTCCACTCCAATAGCAGTTACCGAGCAACAAAAATCAAGGCAGATGAACCACGCTCGGTAGCCCCCTTTCTCTCGTATTCGTGTTTACTAACGGACGCCGTATTTCGAAACACAAACAGCCGATGTCGAAACAACAGGTTTATACTAGAATTTAGACTCTGCCTCGTGGAACTGTCGACAAAAGGATGCCGAGAAAAAATCTGTCCGTTGGATTTTCGACAATGAAATCTAACTGCGCAAACAGAAATGAAAGCTTCCAATGTTTAGACGTCCATGGTGTTTCCACGGGATAAACGAAGCCGAGCGTATTCCATTCTGGAACGTTCTGTCACCGGACAATGTCACTTGTTCCACGAAAAAGGAATCACCCATTAAAAATATTAATAGCTGGCCAGACGTTTCCTTAATGATTCATTCCAACTAACCTAATCGTCTCTTCTAGCTCATTAGCTGCAACGGTCGTTCCAACCGGTCGATACTCTCGATCGATTCATCGTGACATTTCAGTCTTTCAGTTACAACATCTATTCCTAAAACTAATTCCAATTCTCCAAGCCTACAGCAGACGTCATAAATATTCAAACAACACTGATAACTGAAAACGCATACGGCTTTCACTTAAAAACTCGAATGACAACAGTCCTAAACCGTCGAACAGTTTCGTCAGAGGAATGCAGTGGAACAGGTTTCCCCGACCAGCTCATACCTAAATATTTACACGGAAGTGTTCCCGTGTTTGAGCATAGTAGCACGAAGAAATTCGTGGCTAAAGGACGCCGACGATGTGACAGTTCACAACGGAAATTCACGATGGGCGTGGTTTACCGAACAATATGCCGTTCCTGTTACCGCGGCGCATGGGCCTAGCGAAGCGCGCGACGCAATCGTCGTCGATCGCCAGGTCGATCGTACGATCAATGGAAACGAGTAGATCGCGTCCACCTTCGGAACCGATCGACCGAGCATCGGTCCCTTTCTGCTCGGCGTCGTCATCGAACCCCCGTCGAACACGTCCGATAATAAAAGACGAAAAAATCAGCGAACAATGTTACTGACCTCGGCTGATAGCTTCCCTTTCGACGCCATCTTGACAACAATAATGGCGGTTGGTCGACGTCCCGACTACCTGCTATCGCACGCGGTGCCACTGACGATCGCAAACGTGTTCCTCGGGAATACGAACCGCAGGCACTGAGAGGCTCGGACAACGTGCGTGCGTGAGTGCAAACAACACACGCGTGACTGTTCAGACACACACGATCACTGCCGTAACTGCGAGAGAAATTTTCTTATCGCGATCGGCGACTCGCAGCGACCCGAGCAACGAAACACGTGCTGACGTCACGGCACGAAACGTCTTTTCGTACTACTCGTGTACTACGACGTGCACGAGTTCACGAGCGACACGAAGGCACCCGGCTCATCACAACCCAGCCCCACCACCTTGTTGGGCGACCGATACAAGTCCCTTTCACTCACTCACTCGATAATTAGAATAAAGCTGCCCGGCCCTCCCCACCCCTTTCCCGCCGACGAATTATGTCCTCTCTCTCTGCACGTGTAGAACTGTGCCTCTTCTCCCGGCCGTTTTCACTGTCGATGATGTATGGCTCTTGTCGTTCCTCTTCGCCACTTCGATCGTTACTCACCGGCGCGTGGGCCTTACGGCCTTTTTTCTATGTGCGTTTGAGTCACCGTGAACCTGACGGTTGAGCAACTGACCTGCGCAATTTATTTCTGAGCTTATTGGTTAGAGAATAGTGTGACTTCTGGGTTAACGCTGGAACTACTGCAACTCACAATGTCGTTTTCTTGTTTCGTAATTGACGCTTGAGTATTGAATATTTAAATGACTTGAAATAGTGTCACTTGAATACCATAGATGTCTGGACTGAAACACTAGAATTACCGTAAGTCACAATGACTTTATATTAATCGTATTAAATCGGTAGTTCCAGCATTAAGGAGTTGTTATGAGAATTTTGCTAATTGACTTTGCGTCGATGGGCTGAGGCTCGAGATCCAGATACGAGCTAGAGTATACTGGTCTCGAATAGACCCTATTGTGTCCTCCTTTATAATGTACACGCAACACGATACCGACATTCATCGCGACATTGATCAACGATTTCAGTGTTTACGTGTCCTATTCGCGTAAATCTGACCAGGGCAATTGTAAACGAACTCACGGGATTGAGGTTAGGTGTCAGCCGAGGAGGATCGTTGGCCGTTCGTCTCTTTCCTTCTGCGGATCAACGGAGCAAACTGGGCGGGGGAAGATTCGCTGTAATTCAGAGTGTATTAACCTTGCCGCTACGCTTCTGCCCTCGTTGATCCCGATTGATTAAGCACCGCCGAGCGGAGCACGCTTTTTTCACCAATTTCGAGTGCCGCGAAAACGTTCGAAACGCCGGGACGGCTGCGCGGCTTCCGTTGCGCGTACGGCCGTTCGATCTATTTCGAAATCCGATACCGACTGTTAAAAAATGGCGCGCTTTTTGATCGCGTCTATTGCGCATGGAAAATGTATTATATTAAATATTAAACATTCGAACTAATTAACTGTATTGTACTTAAATTGTATGAAAAATTATTGAATTACGAATAATTCGTTAATAATTAAGATGATTGAATTATTAAAATATTGTAGTATAGATACATCGACGGAATAAATGATTTGGTAAATTTAATGAATACAAATAATTAAATTACAATTTGTCGACGATTAATACGATTGATTTATTAAAAAATTATATTATACACGGATCAACGGAATAAACTTTAACAAATTCAGATAAAATACGAATAATCTGTCTACGATTGATACGATTAATTTATTAAAAAATTATATTATACATATCGACGGAATAAATAGTTTTGTACCTTTAAAAAATCCAGATAATTACTTTACGAATAATCTATCAACGATTAATACTATTAGATGATTAAAAAATTGTATTACACACACATCGACGAAATAAATGGGGTTGTACAATTCACAAATTCAGATCAATACTTTCCCATTGAAACAGGATACGCGTTCAAACGGGCATTATTTGATAAACGTGCCGCCTAATTAATTTTCCACCGCCGGGCACGCAAGTGTCAGCCTGGTCTTCCGATTTCATTGCCCCGGTCTCATTCGCTCCGCGTTCACGTAGCAGCATGTTACCAGCACTCGACGATCCGATAGGATTGCATCGGTATTGTACAATGCAACTCGGTGCGGTTGCGTGGGCGACGAGCGAAACTCGACGACTTTTATGCAAAAGACCGTCCGACGACGGCTGACCTACTGATAAATAGAAAACCTGGGGGAAACTTGGACGCCATTGGCATCCGAAACGGCCAGATATCTCTGACGCTTCCGTTTTCAATGGACGCGATCCGTGAACGCATACCGGTGTCCACGGATGAAAAGGGTCCAGCCACGATAAACGTGGGAAAAAGTAGAGACGGTACACGCTGACGGAAATTTCTTGTATAATTCAATTAAGCTGTGGACAATTTTGGTAATAAGGTAGTATCAAATTTGCATGTAGCTGTTCCTAACTATAGCAACGTTGTAAAAGTGGTTCTCTTCCTTCTCACCTATCTCTCAAGATTATTAACATCAATAAGACGTTACAATTAATAAGATCAATTTCTAGACATTTGCCTAACTCGCGATACCATAACAACTATTCACCCTAAAATTCTATAACTCTTCGTAACTTGATATCAACTGTCCGTTCCAAGCGTTTTCCGACAATAGTACCTTCGCCACGAGTTGAGAACCGCTGCCGAAGGATGGCGTAAGGATTCAACTGTTGCTAAGAGGGTTGCCGAACGCTCTTTGCAGTGTTAAAAGTGTCCAAACCTATTTTATCTCCCATCCTGACACCGGTCCGCCGCAATGGAGACCTTAAAACACAACCGGCCGCCATTTTTAGGCCGCGGGCGTCCGCGTCGCCGCTCGTAACGCGGCGAAACGCGAGTCTCATTAATCTCCCGCGGAACGAGATCCCCCAGCACGCGTGCACGGAGTCATTTTTCAAGCTGGCATGCATTACTGTCGGTTGCATCGGGCGGAAGAGTACTCGGTCTCGAAAAGTACTCGGCTCCTCGGCGGTAAGTGCAGGCGAAGCTCTAGTTTCCCTATTTATGGAGCCGCGACAGTGTCCTCCTCTGACGTCGGGACAATTCCTCGACGTCGACGTCGATGCGATCCGATGCACGCGGCGCCGATCATCGCCGATCGGATGCACAGGATTGTTCGGGAGTTGCGTCGGTTGGCGAAGCTCGCGTTAAACTCGCAATTAACGCGATTTTCTTTGCTCGTCGGCTCGTAAGTCGGGGCCTGCGGTGGCGGGAATTTATCGGGAATATCGGATGATACCGATGATATTAATTACAACACGCTGCGATCGAAACCGGGACGTTTGTGAACCGTTGACGCGCGGCGTCGAGAGGCTGAGGAATTTATTGGATTGAAAACGAAACAAGCACTTCAGCTTTCGAAAGCACTTGCTTCGCCGTGTTCCGCTGCGACCGTGAGCACCTCGCAGTTTAATTGCGATAACAGCGCAACCTGGCGACCAAAAGTTCTTCCGTTACTGTGTATTAACGAACGCTTTCGCAAGGAATGGCTTCGGTTGATCTAGGCTTCAGTGTTTGCGCTGATTATTCTTTGAACTTGTCACCGTAACTTACTGCTGAAACAGTTTAAGAAATAAGTACTCGACAGTGCTAAAGCACTGTTGTCTAGATGATCAACACTGGGACCCGCCATTTTGTCGGGATTTCGCGTTCTTATTTCGCAAGCATTGATAGAAGTGTTTAATACCCGAAATGGTTTTAAAAAGATAGTTTCACTTGAAAACTGAAGAGATCTATTAGAATTTTAAAGATCACATTAATTATATTAAACGCTCCGTTGTACCATTAATGAATTTTCATTGAAGCATCGATCGCGTGGGAACGAATTAGCTAAACAGAATAGTGTAACGTTATTCTATTTATTTGTTTTCAATAGCCCCTTCCTGCATCGTTACGGCCTCCTACGTAATTCGAGCGTGGCAAACGAAAACATCAATGGGCCATCAATGCAAGCCTCGTATTAACGACGTTTATTGGTGCTTATCGATAACGTTATTGTTCACCGGGCGAAAGCATCCGTGTCCGATCGCGACCTGTCTATTTTCAGACTGGTTCGTACGCTAGGCACGCCCAGCGGCGGGATCATTATTGGCACACTGACTTCGCTGGAATCGGTATTACGTACGCGTGCCATAAAGTTGAAGCCACCCGGGGCCGACCGCACAGGGAAGACAGAGGGAAAACGAATATACGGAGGAGGGAATGCGAGGCCCGTGTGGTTTGTGTGGCTCGGCAAATCCATTTCACGCCCTTTCCCTTCTGCTTCGGGACGGGAACGGCGATGGCTGCGAGGTGAAGTGAATTAAACTTCCCCTGTAACTTCCGGAGAATGGAGTGTCGAAAATCATCGTGGCTCCGCCAACCTTCGATTCGTTCAAGTTCCCAGTTCAAGGTTGTAAACTTCGAACTTGACTTGAACTTCGGAAGCTGACAATCGACGCGTGCAATTTCGAATTTGGAATGTACCATTTTCCTCGAGTTCTCTAAATTTGAAGTTCGATTCCTTGAAGTTCTCGGTTCAAGGTTCTAAGCAGACTTCGAACTAGACTTGAACTTCGGAAGCTGACATTCGACGCGCGCAATTTCGAACTTAGAATATACCATTTTCCCCAAGTTCCCTAAATTTGATATTCGAGTTCAAGACTTTAAGTTTCAACTCTCAAATCTACATTTCAAGTCCCAAACCATAAATTTCAAGCTACACACTTCAATCTCCAAACTTCCAGCTTCGAGCCCCAAGCAGCAACGTCTAAAATCCCTCGTCGCAACCTGAAGCAGATGATCGAAAGCAAAGAGAAAATGAACAGTTTGGTTCAGAACTGCATTCGTTCCATTCTGCGAGAGTATTTTCGTGTTACAGTTTGCAATTGAGAAAACAGCGCGGAATTCGATGAAGTTCTCGCGGTGCCCTCGTCCGCAGAATTATGGGGACAACCTCCGAGGAAACCTATCAGCTCCCTCGTATCCTGGGAGCCACGAGGATCATCGATCACTCGAACGAGGGGTGCGACGCGCGACGCGAAACATTCCGAAAGAGATTCCACTGTATGGGGAGATGGGATGCGTGGGCGGTCGGTCAATTTAATTAAATTAATTGGCTGACCGTTAGGACGGTACACAAGGCTCGGAAGTCACGCGCATCCTCCTGCAGAGGGTGTGCACCTTGCGTCAATCGTTTACAAATTTGTCGGTCCACCCTATTGGCCGGCACTTGTCCTTGACATTATTCCGGCTGAGTGACGTCCGCGCTTGCACGTAAGATAAAATAGGAACGACACGTGTACCTGGCCGCGAGCGTCATTAAACGCGTTGTTTGCGGCCTATAGTCGGCCTCCTGAAACAATCGGGCCGGTGGATGGATGAATGACTTCGGTTGCTGCGATAACGCAATTGCCGTAACGTATTTAACCCCTTGTCCCGTCATTTCTGTTGCACGTAAAGGAAATATGGAGGTACTTTGGAATGTAGGCTGTGGAATGTCTGTGGTTATATTGTGTTTTATAATGTGGTCTGTAGAATATATGTGAATATATTGTATTTTTTTATGTAGTCTGTAGAATATGTATGGTTATATCATATTTTATATATAATCTATAGAATGTCTATAAGTATATTTTATATTTTATAGTATAGTCTATGGAATATATATGGCTATATCATATTTTGTAATATAATCTGTAGAATATCTATGATTATATTATATTCCACATCCTTAAAAATTCGAATTTGTTTACCGTTTACTTTCAGCTATGGTAATTTAAACTAAAAAGATCTGAGTGACATTTACCTCTGGCAACTTCCATTTGAAGGGGTTAATATAGGTAATAACAACGTCGCCTTTGTTTCAGCTTCTTTTCCAGAACAAAAGGCTCACGCAGTCTTGAAATGAAGTTTGATGTCGTCACCGTACTGCGGATGGCGTGCAATTTCCATCAAACAGGAATGCTATGGAATACAAAGTACAAGTTTCAATATTAATTACTAATCAAAATGCAAACTGCAAGGAAACAAGTTTAATCCTTCTACTTAAAAACGTCACCGGTTATTCCGTAATTAAATATGAAAATTAGATAATCTAAATACACTCTAATATACTTTATTTATATATAATAAATTGAAATGAAATTTTGGACGTATCTCTTAAATAACTTTGAATATTTTAATTCGCAGTAGTCTATATTGCATTTCAAAACTTGAAATGCCTAATGCAAGTGCCAGCACGGATCAACTCGTGACCGGTCAACGTGTTAATTGAAGTTTCGATCTTCAATGAAAGAATTTACTTTCCTTTGTTTCATTTGAACGTTACACGCTATTAGAAGCATAGATTTACAGTTCAACGATCAATCTTTACAAGTGTACTACTGTGCAACACAAATCCCAAGTAAAATACAAAATCGAATTCCTCATTGTCTTCCGTAAGTTAGAAATTTTTAACCCTTTGGTAACTCTCCACCACTTGATTTCCGACAGTAAAGCTATAAAGTTTGATATTTAATATTATACTTCATACAATGCATCAGTCTGAGAAATATTCACGTAAAATTTCTCGTCGAATTGGTGTTACAAAATATCGTCTTCATCTCAACAGAAAATGTTGAAATATTTCTAGTGAAAAACTCCGGAGTGCAAAGGGTTGGTAGCTGAAATTTAGCCGGCGTTTAATGTATGAACTCGTGACCGCTTAACAACGCGTTGATTCTCTAGACGAGAGTTGTTCACGTGGTAGAAAGTATGTTCGAAGCCGTCGCTAGATATCTTTCACAGCCATGCGACTGGGTCGATCGTTGTACGGAGATGTGGGTCAGGCACACGCCCGAACCCCCTGGATTTTCATCTCGCCCCTTCCTCCGGCGGACACGCGTGTGTAACGCATACCTAACCTCCAACGGATGATCGTCCGTTCCCCGTTTACGAAAACTCATCGGTTACACCGTTGAAACGGACACGGGAGAACGCTTTAGAACCGTGAACCTCTCTCTATCAACACGAAACGTCTGTCGTATTGATCACAACGGCACTTCTACTATCAGAATCGAATCGTTCGCAGATCAAACTGTTCTATTCAACTCGATTCTTCAACCCTTTGCGGCCCGAAGTGCTATTGGTTTCTCACTTTGAGGTTCACGTCGGCGTTCATTCAATTACAGCTTGATATCACGCTCTATTTATTTGTTCAAGAATATTTGGGAGTCATTGAGATGTTACTTTTAAATGGTACATTTGTGATGCTACAGATAAATATAGAAAAAATCGTTAACTCTTTGCGGACGAAGATTCTCTGAAACATACAAAACCCTCGACAGATGAAGCTAAATTACATAAGAATTACTTATAAATATTATGGCGTGAAGATTAATTTTTTAATCTTAAAGCCCGGGAAACCGCGGCTATAGCTGTTCGTATCGAAGTTTGAGGTTTAAAGTTTGAGTGTTTGTATAAATAATTTCCAGCGTGAAAGGTCAACTACTCGCAGAATATTTAGCACCGAAGAGGGAAGGTGTACCGATAAAACCTTTAATCGCGTGAGAAATCGATGGAAAGGTCTGCTTACGGAATCGATTACGGCAATTGGCGGTTGAAGGGTCCTGTTAAACGAAGGACCTCTCTTTAATGGAGTCTGAAATGAATTGCGCTTTTACTACGCTCGAAACACACCCTTCCTCCTCGGGCAAACTCAAGAAAAGTAGATAAAAGGTTATCATCCGACTCGGGTACTCAATACTAATCAAATGAAAGTCTCCGATGTAATCGTTATAATGAGGCCGGCTTCACGGGGGAAGCGTCTCCGGGACATTCTCCTCTGCCCTTTCGATAAATTAGTAATTTCATTCTAACCGGAAGCCATGGGAACGTGATTGCAGGGGAAGAATATCCCGAACGAACTTTAAATCGAATAACTTCCTCGTTCTTTTACAGGTTCAATAATTAAACAACGTTGTATTCTCGTCAGCCTTAATGTTTCTAAGAGATTCCGTTAGATCTTAAGTTTATTGTAGCTATAGATTAATTAACTCTGATGTAATATCTGTTATTAATTTCATAAATTATTGCTCGTCTAATATTAATCTTTAACCTTTAGAGTAAATGTAGATGCAAAGTAAGCATAAAATTGATTTCTTTTGCTATTGAATCGCTCGCGACAAAGTTGTTTTATCAAGCACAGTTCAGCCGTAAATCACAAGGCAACGGTTTAATCAAGTGTACTCGTGAAAATGATTAATTCATGACAAGATGGTAACGAAATCACTTGTACGAAGAACCAGTGAAGTGTTTTATCAGCAGAATTTGAAGATGTTTCTATTCTATTGCAACCTCTACCCGTTTTAACAATTTTTTCTATATTTATCTGTAGCATCACAATTGTACCATTTAAGGTAACATTTCAACAACTCCCAAACATTCTTAAATAAATAAATAGAGCATCATATCAAGCTGTAATTGACTGAACTAACGTGAACCTCAAAATGAAACCAAGAACACTTCAGACCGCAAAGGGTTAAAGGTTGGAAACCGCCGAGTAACAACGCAAAATTGTTTATGAATTTATGCTATATATATTTAATCGTAAAAACAGTAATACACAAGAAATAGTCCGTTTCATTTCGTCAAATCGAATTCCGTTGGCGTTTCGTTTAGTCGACGACCTGGCCGGGGATCTTCAAGCAGACCTGGGGGTTGTTGTGCTCGTCGACCAGCGACAGTTGGATGGTCAAGAAGATCTTGGGGTAGATCTTCTCGATGGGCATCTTCAGTTTGTAGGTGACGACCTCACCCTTGTCCAGGGGGCATTCTCCGTTGGCGAGACTTTTGCAGGCGTTCTGCTCGGGCAGTGGGTACGGGCTGTGCGCGTTGCCGATCTGAACGTCGACTACTGGTCTCAGGGTCTTCGTGCTGGCAACTGTAACAATTCGAAGTTGGTCGAAGTTAGCGCGAGTGTCTAACTATCCTGCGCTCAAAGCCGAATGGCTTTCGCCTCGCGAATACAACATGGCCGACGAGTAACCGAGCTCTCGTCATGTGTCGCTTAGAATCCAATGTTTGGTGGATTTCTTATTTTCTGAACTTTGTCAACTTTGAGGTAAATATTCTTTGTTGGTATTCGAGAATTTATGATTTATGTAACGAAGCAAATCTAATAGAAGAGAATTTTATTGGATAGATCATTTCTATAATATTAAGATCTATGTTTCTGCTCGGCGATAATTAAGTCGATTTGAATGTCAGTGGTGTTCTAAGATTTATGCGTCTAGGTGCTGTTAATTAGTTGCTTTCGTATGTAATCGTATAAATGATAATTATGGTAGTACTGTATGATATTATACTATTGTGTTTATTTTAATATGAATTTCTATCAACTGTCTACTCACGAACGGTGAAGTCGATGGCAGCGTCAGCGAAGGTGCCCCTCTTCAAGTCGCAAGGGAGTTTGTTGCACCCAACGATGTTCACATTTTTGGGCGCCGGTTGGCCGCTGCAAGTGAGGAATTCCGACTGGAAGGAGTCGGCGATGAGGAAAGCGGCGACGAGGTAGACTGCAATCACATTTCGATTCGTTGTTACGACAATAAATGATCAAGTAAATAACGTTTCTTAGATCTTTTATTTTCCTTCTTACTGCAAAATTTGGATGTGTGAAAAATTCAATAATTATAGTTTCTTTAAGATTCATTGAAATATCTAATATTATTCCTGGTGGAATATTGGAGCCTACAGAGTTCAAAGGGTTAAAGTTTATTCAGATTATCTCATTTTCACGTTTAATTACGAAATAATAACCGGTGACATAGAATACTTTCTGCGTAAAATCGCCAGTCAAAAACTCAATTATTTTAGAAGCAATCCAGAAATACAAATAACATATCCTAATAATTAGAAGTATCAAATATAATTTGTCTTTCAATTTTTAATTTTCACAGATATGAAAATATTTCATAAGTCTAGTATAGTTAGCAGAGAAGCGAAACTTTTATGTCAGAAAGATCGAAGAAACTTCGATGCTACTGTCGAGCAATTATAAATATCTTATGGTTCTAATTAGTGATGGTTACATACCGTAGGTAATGATTGCCATTTTGCTGGTTGCTGCGGTTGTCGGAACCAAATGATGACCGTTCCAGACGAATGCTCGGTATTTATTTCTCAACTTTATCTAATCAACCCGGTGGCAACGCCGGAGCAAGTGTTGTCAGTGATATTCAAAAACACTTGAAATCTGCGCACCTGTTCTCCAGCTGAGTAGGAACAGCTGCTAGATCTGTTGATAAAAATCGACGAGAATAGGGACGGTTTCGTTAACTCGCGCACTGATTAGGAGGAACCCTGCATTTTCTTTCGAAATCTAGCGTGCCTCGAGTGTTTTTAGATTAGGCACTTTTACTATCGTAGATAGTTATTCTGCAGGTGTTCACTATTTGATGACACTTGAAAAAACGTATTTCTTCGGTTAGATATCCGTCTGCTGATCGTTTCGATCGTTTGTTATAATTTACCTCGATAGACACGATTATTCTACGGTAAATCGAATGATTTCAAATGAAAACCTACACTTCTAGGAAATAATATAAATATGAAATATTCTATTATATTCTACTATTTGCAAGTAATCGAATTAATGTATTCAAATCATCAACGCCTAGTAGAAATTGAAACAAGTAACAATTCACGAAATTACTCTCGATTTCGAATCGAACGGACGATCTCTCGTCGCAATCATCGCAATGAAGGAACGAATGACTCGTGGAAGTAAAACAGGCATTAAACAATGTAGAATGTTTTATTCAATCCATAGAGTACAAAACTATCGTTCTTACCGAAAGATCATTAACACTAATATCTAATATTTAATTAACTAATATTAAATATAATATTTAGTAATATCCAATGTTATCAACATTGTTTCGTCAAAGTTTCTATATTCAGAAATTATTATTTTCTATACTAGATTTCTTAACTTAACTTTATTTCTAAACTTAATTCATTTCATACTGCATTTCCAAAAGTTTTTCTTTTAATTTGGACCCTATAAATGCAGACAATAACATCGTAAGGTTCTCTTAAAATTCATTAAAATATTTAATATTAGAACTGGTGCAATATTCGAGCCTACGGAGTTCAAAGGGTCAAACGATTCAGCGTCCGTCAATTCGACGAGCTCCGTATCTATCGTTAATCCAGCTTCATCCCCTAACTCCGATTCTCCTTATTCGCCTCAGAATTTTCCTTCTCCAACGCTTCTTCCTCTTCTTCCTCCATTTTAGCGGAATTTCCCCCCGCAAGTCGCTCGCAGGGAACATTCTTCCTCCACGGCGGCATCTGGACGAACTTCTTTATCAACAGGTCGCGCACGCAGGTCGGCGTGATCTTGAAGAGCGCGTGGTACACGAAGTACCGCCATGACTCGTGCCTAAACCGACGTTTGAACAAGATCAATGTTAACCCACGTCACGCGTGTCGTTCAATTAAGAATAATCATAGACGATAATTGCACAGATTACCGGGGGCTATCTAGAACCGTCCCGATCGGTCTAATTAATCGAAGTAGCCAGGTGTTCCCTTGCAGGTGTCCGGTTTGCCGAACAAAAAATCGAACTTCACCGTAGACGCGAGATACGACGGGTCGCTATCTTTCGTCGATGGCTCCAGATACGAGGGAAACCACCGACGACAGTCTCGAACTCGCTTTCGCGCAGCTCGACCGCGCTGCAGATCTCCTCGGAAACCGCTCGTGGATCCAGCGGGGCAGTTTGTATCGGTTTCACGTTACTCGTGTCGCAGATGTTATAAATTCTGTCGTTTCCACGAACTCTACGCGTATCAAAATTCTTTAAAATTTATCGTTTTTTTTAATGCAGGTTTTATGGGATTCAGACGTTTTGAATAATTCTGATTCGATTTCTCCGAATATTACAAGTTCTATGAGATTGTATCGGTTTCGCGTTACTCGTGTCGCAGATGTTATAAATTCTGTCGTTTTCACGAACTCTACGCGTATCAAAATTCTTTAACATTTATCGTTTTCTCTTTGAATATAGATTTTATAGGATTCAGACGTTTTGAATAATTCTGATTCGATTTCTGCGAATATTACAAGTTCTATGAGATCTAAACGTTTCTGGAATATTTCGAATATTATTCCTAACATTTGAAACTTCGTTGATTACTCTCGCTAAGGAAACTTCCGTTTAAAGTCTATTGATATTTCCTCGGTTTTAACGCATCGATTGCCACGAGAATTTTAGAGCTCCACGGGTTATTCCTTCGTCGCAGCAGTGAATAGGGAATAATTAATTAGTTATTACAGCTTCGAGGAGTTGCGCTGGAAAGACGTGTCACGCACGTCGACATTGACAATTTTGTTGCATTGCGCCTATTAGATTGTCTCGAAATGTATCACTCTATACAGAATGAATAATAAACAAAATTGGTGTACATATCAGCGTAAAATAGATAAAAAAAAATTCCTCATATGCAATTCCTATAAAAATTGTAACAATAGATTATTCTCAGTTTCTTCAGACGTTCATTATAGTACTGAAATGGAACTATTTACTTTCAAAATCATTTCAAATATTCCAATGCTTCGAAGATACCACTAATTGCTAAACAAAAATATCGAAACCAATCATTTCGACTGGCAGTTCATCGCGTCATCGTATGGCAAGGGGTTAAAGTTGCAAAAACACGATCCTCCGACTGTTCCGAGGTTTCCCTAGGTTCTCACAGACTACCAGTTAGAAAAGTGACGCACTTGTAGACCGTTGACGGGTGTTTATCGAGCAGAGCGCCCTCGAAGGCCTCGTAGATCCCCGGGTCTGTCAGTTTCTCCAGGTTCCCGGGCTGCGCCACGGACCCGAAATATCGCGAGTAGCTGGTGAAGTAATCACCGTAAAAGTTCCTCGCCTCGTCAGTCATCGAGTTCCTCATCGCCTCGAAGTGTTCCGCTTGCCGCGCCAATATACTGCTCTCCCTGAAGAAAGATCCTACAAGAAGGTACGAGAACGAGCTCCCTTTACGTTACACCTCTTCGGTATTCTCGCTAACGTCGCGGAGTAATCTTTTAACGAGCGAACGAAACGGGCACGGTAACTGATTTCCATACAGATCGATGGATTACGTTAATTCGTATGATCGATCGAGCTGTAATTAAATTTTAACTAGAATATTCCTGAGAAACGCGTGTATCAACCAGAACGCAATTTTTTAGCAATATTCTATTTGCTGACATTGAGGGAATACAGTTATAATTACAACTTGATTGATTGTACGAATTAACGTAATCCGTGTTTCTTACTTGATCGAAGGATTTCATTAGAATCGATAGAATTTGAAGATTAACTCTTTGCGGTCGAATGTCGGCATTTCGAGATGAAATTTTCATATTTGGAATGCTAAGTCACAAAGGGGTGATTTAATTACTCGAATAGCAAGAAGTTAGTACGTAGTTTCCTTTTTCCAATTATCTAAGCAATCGATGTATAATTTAGCTTCATCTGCTAAACGTTTCCTGTACTTCAAGGGATCTTCGTCCGCAAAGGGTTAAGACTGTTTTATTATTGATAATTTGGTTTAGTAAAATTCTGATTACAGACCAGGAATAAAAGAAACGACCTTGACGCCATACTTCTCGAGTTCGAGCCTAATGGCGGTGGCCCAGGCGCCGATCGCGGCCTTCGTCCCGCTGTAAGCGGCCACTCCAGGGATCGGCTGGATGTTACAGTGGCTCGAGATAACGACAATGCGGCTGGAGTGCGCTCGGATCATCGGCATCAGTTCTCGAGTGATCCTCATCGTACCAAGGAAATTCACTTCCACTTGACTCCTGATCTGATCCTCTGTTTGCCATTCGAATTCGCCGAAGATCATCACCGCGGCGTTATTGACCAAGCACCGTAGCTCTGTGAACAGATCGTTCCGATACTCGTTCATTTACGATGTCTTAGTAATGTTAATTACATATTTCTCTGTCAAGATATTTCTTATCGAAACAATCCAACAGAAACTCGGAGTGCGAAGGGTCAACAAATCCTCGGTTGTTAATTTTCAAAGAAAATTTCATGGAACAGTCACTCTCAATGAAAGATACGTTATCCTCGATCAGAGTACTTCAGACTAATTCTATATTTGACAACAATAATCTATATTTGATAACAATAATCTAAATTTGACACCCGTTGATCCCGATATATTTCAGAACAAATATTCGCAACACACATTCGCACTTCCATAAATTCAAACCAAATCCCCGACACACCTATGCTCCTAAAAAACACCTGTACCCTCAAAAATACTTCTCACTTTCAATAAAGAAACTGTTCGAAGAGTTCATCCAGGACTTATCCTAGTGCGAATTTACCTAAATTCTCCCGCGCCAGGAGCGTTCGCACGGAGTCAGCGAAATCAATCACGCTGACAGGTTCCGTAACATTCAGGGGGTAAACGAACGCGTCCGCCTCCCTCAAGTTTCTCGCCCCCAGACCGTCGTTCCGCAGCACGCCGGCGATCACGGTCGCCCCCAGTTGCCGACAGTGAAGGGCCAAACTGTAACCCAACCCTGAATCGCAGCCAGTCACGACGATCGCCTGATTCGCTCGTATTTTATCCCGGGACTTACACCAGGAGTACAAATAATTTCCACCTGAAACGAGGAAATATTGGACTCGGTTGTTGTTCGATCGTTCGAGATCAACGCTGCTGTTGTATCTTGATGTATAATGCGACTTGTTTGTCAGATAGTTGATAAGTAATGTCAATTTGATCAAGGAAATTGAATAATTAGCCGACAGGGAGGTGATCGGCGAATGGAAGAGATCGATGATTGGATGTATTTGATAGTTTATTTGGGATAATTAATATTGGAACGTTGTTTGCGGAGTAGGTGGAATTGTCATTGACACTAGAACTACCGTTCAGAATGACTAGTTTCGAGTTGTTTGTTTCGCAATCATTAATATCTTGAAAGCACTCAATATTTGAAATGATCTTGAAAATAAACAGTTTCTTTTGAATACTCCAATGAATATCCGAAGAAACTAAAAATAATCTATTGTCACAATTTTTATAGAGATTACATATCAATCGTATTAAATGCTCGGTAGTTCTAATGTTAACCATTTGACTGGGTTAATGACAATTTCAGGGTCTTTGCAAACACCAGGAAAGTGGCAAGCGATCGCATTCTTTCGTTTCAGTTCAGAAACTGAACGCTTTATTTTTACACAAGATTGTAAATATCGATCGTTGTTCCATTTCTAAGCAGGTGATAAGAAGAATGAATAATTAAGAGACAAGTAAATAAAGTTACTTCGATACGAACCGACAGAGTGACACTTTTAGTCAGCGCAGCGGAGAACCGCCATTGCGCCGCTCGCCACTCGAGCGGTTAGGAATATTATTCGAAGGAACTTTCATTAATCCTTTGCGAACGAAGTGCCAAACCTTCAACAGATGAAGCTAAATTATACATCAATTGTATAATTGATGGAACAAAAGGAAACTGCGTGCTGATCTCTTGCTATTCGAGTAATTATATCATTTTTTCTGACTTAGTCTTCGAAATATGAAAATTTCGCAAAGGGTTAATTTACATGAACATCCGTAGCTTGATGTTAGCGTGAGTTCTATCATGTCAGTGTTGATCGATGCAGTGGGTATCACGATTGCAACGAGTCATCGACTTTTGTGCTGATGTCTGATCCGGATAAGAGGATAGTCGACCGGTGAGCAGATAAGTTACGTCATGGCGGCGCAGATTTTAGACTACGTTCACTCTTAGAATATTTTTCTAATGTAATTAGTGCAATTGGTGTGTTGGTGTAAAATCTTCGCCACAAGTCGGACACATTGGAAGGTAAGGGGTTGGTCTAACAATGTTTATCCTTACTTACCGATGCAACACAGGGAAATCGTCGACGCCGTGTATTTGTGTCCCTTGTTCCACGAATAAACAAGACTCAACAAGGTCGCTACATCAACAGCGAGCATCTTCGAGTGTCTTCTTAAGCACTTTGCTAATCCCATCGCCGAATTGAAGCTCAACACTGGAACTACCAAATGCGTCAAAATCACCGAGTTCTGAATTATTCTTTTATAAACGAAGCTTGAAATAATATTGGAACTTTGAAAGGACAGATACGTCCCTAAGAAATGAATTTATCAGCATGCGAACAGACTTATCAATCGAAACCTAAATAGATGAACTAATTCCTATAGGAAAAATTAGAAAATTCTTCTGAAGATTCGACTGCTTGGTAGTTCTAGCAAATCTAATTGTAACACTGTCAACGTTCACACGGTGTACTCTATATTTTTTTAAACAATATCATAATCAATGAGAATAAAATGACACGATTGCAGTTCACATTTCAAATTCCTCACGTATAGATTATTGTTTACCAGTAAAGAAGTCAATTTCAAATTGCAAATGGCGCACAAGTCACAGCAGATCTAAGGATCGCAAAGAAAAACGGAAATCGGAGATTTTTAATGATTAAATAATCAACAAGTGTGCGAAGGAAGCGAATAAACACGCGAGGCGAGGCGATCTTGCCGTCCTGGCCGCAAATGGCTGCTACGGGACGTGAAAAGAAAGAAAAGTGAAGTTCCCCACTCTAGGGCTGGCCGTCCCGTTGCTCCTTTTTCGAAATTCAAACGGCAGGGCCAGATCTGCTCCCGCGATTCGAAGAAACGTTTGCTGCCCGAGATAAACATCGAACGCCACGCATAATTCCTGTCCACCGTGTATATTTGTCGTTCTGTTAGGTGGACACGGTTGTCAGTTGAATTGTGGAGAAATACGTTCAACTCTTTGCACTGTAAGGTCACCTCTGACACGGTGACATTTGCGACATTGTGAACTAAATATGAGAATTCTGATTGTATTCGTTTCGTTGATAGAAGTATAAAGTTCAAATGACTCCAAGCAGTTCCTGCATTAGAGAAGTTAGACTATAGTTGACAGAGAAAGGGTGAGAGTTATAGTGCAGAGGGTTTAATGGAATTATTCCTAGTCAATGGGGTTTCGATGGGCACGTTTATTCTGAGAAGGAAGTACGTGATTTCTTTTTATTGTATCGTTAAGTATAAAGACACTCGAAGGCACCACTCGCACTGGCTGAGATGTTTTAATATTTCATGGGGAAACGTTCCTTGGACCGCTTCACATTCATTTGAATTGCAATCATTCCCATGCTGCGTGTGAATAAATCATGGCCCGTGAATTTTTGAGAGTTTCGCCGAGTTCTTTTCGTCGAAGAGAATACTAAAGCTAGGAGTAATTTAGTGACGGTGATTCTTAACGTGAAGTGATTTTTGAGTACGAAAATTGCTAGGATACCTGACGGTTCCATTAGAAACATTATAGAATTAACAAGCTTCTATTTAGAAAGAAAATAATGTCAAAGATAAAAGTAACTCTAATCGAAATCACAGTTATAAGCCATCGATTGCAATCCTCGGATTCTCGTTGACAATAGAATGAAAAAAGACTAACGGTTCGTATAAGGATTTACGCAATATTTTTGGAAAAGTTTGTAAATCTTTACAGAGTAAAATATACAACTGAGTAATACGGCATACTTTACATAAAAATTAACAAAAGTTAAGACTAACAATACGGTACACCTTAAGCTAATTCTTCTTGCTGAATAAAATCATAGTTCAATCGGTACACAAGATTCATTTGACTGATAGTTAATTAAATTGCTATATTACAAGCATCGTGTTATCACCAGAAGTAGCACGTTCCGTTCGTTTTTAGTCTCGGTTGATCCTTTCAAATCTTCGTTCAGAGGGTGGGCTGTATTAAATGCCGACGGGTTGATCTTCGACTATCACGTGAGGATTTGCGTGTAGGTCGTAGCTTGGATCTCCATCCGTAGCCATTCTTCCCAACCAGGAGAACAAAATTAGAATTCCAATAAATGCTAGTATTCCCATAATACCTATCACTGCGTATCTTTCGTATATCGACCCAGATGTGTTCCTACGCCTTGGCGGTGGACTGACTATCAGCTTCCACCACCTTAAGAACCACTCCATGGCTGACTTCCTCTTGTATTTGTTCTCATCGTGATCGAAGGATATCTCCTTAGGATCATCGTACGCCTCGCAAACCTTCCGTGATGTTGGTGTGGATAATCCCAAAGATGAATCGATATTTACAATAGAATAAGGTGGACCAAGTTTCTGATTGTTTAAATGCACGTTGTTGATATTGGTGTGTACTGAGTTCATGCTACTAGAGGCGCGTGATGTAGCTACTGTGGGAGAGGATGAAGTTGTTAAAGTGTGATTCTGATAGGATATGGATTCAACTCTTAGCGATGGACGTTCCTGTTCTGGTTTCTGCTCTCTGTCTTCGCTGAGCTGTGGAAAGAGATAGTGTAAGTTATTTGTACATCATTTGGAATAATGAAGATTGTGTACAATTGCTTCAAATATATACCAGAGGCAAACCAAGACCAGCTCGTGCCCAGTTAACTCCTGCCAACTTTTCTCTCAATACATCAGCCACAGGAGAGACCAATTTCGAGTCAGGAAAGATACATTCCTTGCACGCTGGACATGTGTATCCTGCTGGTGCCGTTGTTGCTGGCAAATGCCTGGCATATTTATCCAAACATGCCCAATGAAACATGTGATAGCAAGTTAGCCGAACACAGTCACCTTCGTTTAAGTTTAATGAACATAGAGTACAGACTGGATTGTAGTCATGATCGTGGAGCCACAGAATATACGACTGTACGATACACTGAAAAAGATACAACAAATTTGATGGCATTAATGTAGGTTCATCATGGAAAGACAAGATATGTCCCTAAAGTTGCAAGCAATCTGTTGACATTTGTATGAATAACAATGTCAATAAGTTTTCTATGACAAATTTAGTTTCAGTGTTATTAGAGAACACTGTGAACTGTACATAAACATTACATTGTTTCTAGTATTTATTCAACACGATTGCATCATCGATAAAAATTGTTTGTCATAAATTGACGTCTAGATGTTCCTTATTAAATTAATTCAATTATTGTCCAAGTTATTAATGACTGTATACGCACCTTTGGATGATTTGTAACCATACAATGTTCACAAACATTGACACGGTGTTCAAAACAAAATAAATTTGTTACTCTTCGTTTCGGACACTTGCACAGCCCCATATTTTATGAAGACAATACGTTCACAGCATTAAATTACGTATAAGAACGAAACGATGAACTAGTTAATAAGGAACACTCCCATTAATGAGTCTTTTCACATGACATATCGTAGTCTCATGACGGTTTCAAGCTTCATCATAGTATGACACGGCCACCATGTTTCATCGGCCACGTCGTCTGACATTTTGCTAGGAAAACAGAGAGGAAACCACCAATAAGATTTTTCCGTTAAACGTCCCTGGCAAATCAACGCTTTTCTTTAGAAGTTTGTTCGAATACTTTCTGTTGAATGGAATACTCACATTCAAAAACTTTCCAAAATTACAATATTTACGCGTAACATAAAAGGAAAGCTGTAATAAAAAAAATACTATGACTGCAGACTGCACATTCTTCCAAAAAAATTATATAATTTAAGAAATTTTCTCATTATGATTTTCTGTACAAGTACAATTTATTTAATTTGTATTTCATTCAATTGTATTCTGTATATTTATATGTTACGTGACTCTTGTCAACATTTTTTATTGAATACCATTATAAACAAGCTCCATATACAATACTCTGTCCCTGGAATATATTTTTTAAGACAATTAATCTACATCTTTTTATTTTTATACATTAAAAATTAATTAAACGCACTGTTACTAACGATTACTTCGTATTGTTGATGTATAGAATTTAAACGACCAGTTTGAAATCGAAATAATTAAAATTCATAAACATTTAAACTGGGAGTCCCATATGTTCATATGATACTGTTAGGCATAAACAAATACAACATGCTCCATTTACAAAGTACAAAATGTACATATAATTATCAATAACTTTTGTAATAATTGGTAATTTATAATAACTTCTTTAGTTTGTAATACAGTAAATAATAATCAATTCGATACCTAGTTCTTCTTTGTAGTCAGCAAAATGGCTGGATTGTTTAGATTCGTTAAAAGTATAACAACTATACAATTACCGGTACAAAACAGGAATGTATCGTTATCTGCGACATCGTATCTTAAAGAAAGTGAGTAGCAACTATTAATTATTTAACAGAAATTTGAAAAACGGCTTGAACTTTATGACGATCCCATGTTTTGAATATTCTAACCTATACTTTCGAATTTATGTAACCTCTCATCTCACTTTTCTTTGTAGTTATCGAGAAAAGGGAAGGGAATACAATAACATATGAGGGAATTATAAAACCTGACGAAAATGATAAACGATTTCTAAAACCTAAAGGAAATGCCTGTCCTGTGTGTTCCTCTGGTCTTGACATTAAACATACAGTATGAGTTTACTTTCTGACATAAATTATATGTTCCAATCAAGTATCTCAATTTGTAATATTTCTAAATAGTTAAAAAACTATTTTAGGATGTCCTTATACTTAGTCAGTTCGTAAGATCGAACGGTAACATGTTACCACGTAGAATCACTGGTCTGTGCAAAGTACAACAGAAAAGAATAACCACAATGGTTGTGATGGCTCAGAAAGCTGGTAAAGTATAATTAATTTATTTGAATTGAACTCAATCTTGGAAATTCATTAATATTAAAGATACTCCTATTGTTTTTGTCCCATAGGATTAATGCCAAATTTAGCTCCACGAAATTCTAAGAACGATCCTACCAGAAGGTACCAATGGAAGAAGTATAATACGTACTATGACGAGGAAACTATTAAACAGAGATATTGGTTGAATTAATTCTATAATTATATGTAATAAATATGAATGATAAAAGAAGTAATAAACACATGTTTCGTTGGTTATTGAACGATTTATTTTCGTTATTTAAGCCATACGTTTAATGTTCCTCTATCATCGATTCACTCAGTAAATACTTTGTTCGCGTGTAATTCGACGTAACCGAATAGGTTAGAAATCATGTTGAAACGTAGGCTAATAACAACTTCGTGGTGTAAATTTCAAAAACGATACGTGCAAAATAGTTCTAAGGTAGTGAAAGGTGAACGCAATGATCATGAAATTGCAAAGATTCGCAATATCGGAATTTTGGCGCACATCGATGCTGGTTTGTTGAATTATATTATATTTATCAATATAACCTATTATTCTACGATGTATCTGTCACGCAAATAATTTTTAATAATGACTTTTCAGGCAAGACAACTACCACGGAAAGAATGTTATTTTACTCTGGCATCATTCGATCCATGGGAGAAGTACATCATGGCAATACGGTAACAGATTACATGGACCAAGAACGTCAACGCGGCATAACTATCACTTCAGCAGCGGTGACGTTTGAATGGAAAAATCATCTTATTAATTTAATAGACACCCCAGGGCATATTGACTTTACCATGGAGGTGGAACAAACTCTAAAGGTATTGGATGGAGCAGTAGTTATACTCGATGGTTCTGCAGGTGTGGAAGCTCAGACACAGACTGTGTACAAGCAAGCTGATAAATATGGCATACCCAAAATTATTTATGTAAACAAAATGGATAGAGCAGATGCGAATTTCGATGCAAGTCTGAAGTCTATTGAGTCAAAATTACATGTAGAAGCTTTACCTATACAGTTCCCCATTAAGGTGCAAAGGCATTTGAATGGCATAGTGGATGTAATTACTCTAGAGAAAATGATTTTTGAGACAAATGATGCAGGTATGAAACTAACAAAATTGAAGTTGTCAGAGAAAGAGGACAAAAGCCTATGGGAAATGGCACTTGAGAAGCGTAGGCTTCTAACTGATAAATTGTCTGGTATGGATGACAATCTAGCCAATGTAATTATTGCACAGGAGTCTTTGGATAACATTACACCACAATTATTAACAGATGCTTTACGCAGGAGTACTATACATATGAAAGGTGTTCCTGTACTCTTAGGTAGTTCTTACAAGAACATAGGAGTGCAGCCTTTAATGGACAGCGTCCTCTTGTATCTACCATCTCCTGATCAGAGTAAATACTTCAAATATTATAAATCCTTTGATAATCATTTGTCTGCCAGAGCATTTAAAGTAGTGCACGATAAGCAAAGAGGAGCTCTTACTTTCTTCAGAATTTACACTGGAGAAATGAAGAAAAATGACAAAGTGTATAATGTTCAGAAAGAAACATCCGAACAGGTCACTAAATTATACACTGCTTGTGCGGATGATTACCAAGAGGTATTAAAGATTACTAATGGCAACATTGCAGCAGCTGCAGGACTCAAAACTACCACAACCGGTGACCTAATAGTAACCAACGCATTAGCAGTCAACAGAGCACGAGAAAAGCTCGAATCAAATACAAATATCACACCAGAAGAGATAAACAACTTCTTCGATTCGAACTCAGCGTTAGAGCATGTTTTCTTCTGTGCAATTGAAGCGCCATCTCTCTCTTATCAGGTAGCTTTGGAGTCTGCTCTGAAGCAACTGGAAAGGGAAGATGCAGGTTTAAAGGTAACTCTAGACGAGGAGACTGGGCAGACTATCCTCGCTGGCATGGGCGAACTGCACATAGAAATCATCAAAGAAAGAATTCGATCAGAGTTCAAAATCGACGCAGATATTGGCCCACTGCAAATTGCCTACAGAGAGACAATAGTAGACCCCGTTAGAGACACTTTCACTACAGAGTACGCAATAGGGAAGTATAACTATGCAGTCACGCTCACTATATCATTAATACCAAACTACAAGGAAGCCCGAACTCTGCTGCTAGACAAATCACCAGAATCCTGTTCAAACATAAGCGCTATATCACTGAAAGTAATGAAAGCAGTAGAGAAGGGTGTAAAATCGGTTCTGTTGCATGGGCCTAAGCTAAGTTACCCTGTTATAAACATGGGAGTCAAGTTACATTGGTTGGAGTTTAAACCTGCCACTCCAACAACAATTATCACCGCAGCTGTGTCTCAAGCTATCAGGAAGGTACTTTTATTCATTATTTGACATCATCATACTTTACAATAACGTTCCTTTCATGCTCCACCGTCTCAACTACATTCTTCTATACTCCTAAATGCCTGTTTTCGTTTCCAGCTTTCACCTCTGACAAAATCAGCATAGACCTCGGCTTTTGATCCAGCATGGTCCTTTTCATGTTCCGCTTGTCGCCGGTTTTCGTCTCTTCACGCAACAAGTACCTGTCGTGCCATTTCTCTTGCATGGCTCTCATAGCGTTCTCCTCTTCGCTATGTATGCAGGTGTCTGTGAACGTTTTAGGGACACTGAACTTCTTGAACACGTCCTCCGAAAGACTAGTGTCCTGGCGTTTAGATCTAGCGTTCATCAATGGCAGAGCATAGCGTTTCAACTTGGCGTGCCGCTTGAACTCTGACGTCCGGGGTAGCTTGCCTTGTCGGTCGAAGAAGTCGTTGATCAGAATGTCGCTCTTGATCTGCAAGTTCCTCAGGAAACTCTCCTCGAGTTTCCTCTTGGTGCCTTTGCTGTCGTTGCTGTCCTCTGAGCTGACGTTGTCGCCGCTGACGTGCTTCGACGTGCCCTTCTGATTGCTAGCCTCCCTGAATCTGCTTTTGGTTCTCTTGACGTTGGTCTGGGTCGACCTCTCGACGCCACGAATACCCCACTTCAACATGTAAGCGTCGAGGAAGCTGTGGTACAGCTCGGAGCAGACCTCCTGGTGCTCGTAGTGCTTGTCTATGAAGTAGACCCTACGCAGGCGGCAGTTGCCGCAGATTTGCAGTCTCTGAGTGGCAGCGTAGGTGCTGTTGAAGGCGGCTTGAGTTAACTGCGACAGGTCCAGTTCTAACTTGTTCCATCCGGCCTCCAGTTTCACCCTCACGCGACATATCACGCCCTTGGAGTTGTACCTTTCCGACTCCGCGTTGGTGAACTGGAAGTGGTGCAGGCAGCTCTGTGTGTCCACTACCTGCGTCGTTCACGAGGACTGTGTTAACGCTAGAACTATGCTTGAAACAATTAGGATCTTAAGTGATGCCTGACAAGATCATTGCTGAACACTAGAACAACTGAGCAGTCAAATCATTTCCAAATTTGTTTATAGGACCTCTAAGAATACGGCTACTGAGATTTCAATTATGATTCATTTTGGGTATCACTAAATCAATTTCTTTAGTAATTCCACAGAGAAGCATCTGTTATCTTTCTAATACTTAGGAAAGAAGAACGTGTTGGGTAGTTCTAACGTTAACTCTCAATCTTAACACACTGGACGCTAAATTTCAGCTACAGCTACAGCTCTATCCTGTTTGATCAAGACCAGATCACCAATTTAAAATTTCCCCTTCAATTCTAAAGAATCCACTGACAACACACCAGCTACTGACATCACACTAACTACCTCGGTAGTTCTAGCGTGATTACTCCTATCTCTAGTCAGCGTAATTCACTCAGATACTCCACCTGCACTTGCAAGCGGCAGTGCGAGTTCAGGTTCTTGATGACGACGACGAGGACCGGCAGTTCAATACTGAGGAACCTTGACGAATCGGACGGGCAGAGGATCGAGGTGCCGTAGTCGTCCGGTTGCTCTAGGTCCTGCACTTCGATGACCTGCCGATTCCCGGTTCCAGTAAATTAGAACCGCACAGAATTAACTCAAGAGAACCTACATTCTCCAGCAGATCCGAATCAAGGATCTTGCGAATGCGACCCGACTGCGACTGGCGCTTGCTCCAGTACTCTAGCGGCTTCTCGCCGACGCTGTACAGTAGCGAGACATACCCAGCAACCATTGAACCACGAGATTCACTCTCGACACCGGGGAACGTCGACTCGAATCCACGCTTCTTGTTCGCAGACTACGTCGCTGGAGAGTTTCGAAACGGCGATCGGTTCACGCGACGCCAGTCAACTTTTCCCTTAGAAATATCCCCTATCCCTATGAACGTGGTAGTTCCACACTGACGAAACGTCTATGTGTCTGTCCAGTTGATGCACGCCAGCACGATCCTACTGCTGGAGCCGATAATGCAGCTGGAAGTGGTGGTGGAGGCCGAGTACGCGGGGGCTGTCATGGCGGACCTCCGGAAGAGGCGAGCAGAAATTCACAGTTTCGATGTTCGCGGCGAGAACAAGGTAACCAAGAGTAGTTTCGATGCTTTCACCTGGATCGTTACGTTTCTAGTTTTTGGGAGAGAACTGGGAGAACTGGGAATTTTGTCCCAACGTTTCGCCAGCATTGCAGCTAAAGACTGATACTGATGCCTTTAGCTTCCTGACGAAGCCAGCTGCAGTGCTGGCGAAACGAATATTCACTTTTCTAGGAACAGAATAAACTTTACTGATATAAAATAATAAAATGATAATATAAAAAAACCAATAAGTGACTGCCGTATATACACGGCACTCGTCGCGAAAGGGTTAAAGTTGTACTATAGACGATTAGGATAAATACTCATGCCATTGCATCGACGTAAACGCTTCATGAATATCTGTCAAACTCGACACGCGTCAAACTGACAATTCCGTACACCTGATAAAATTCCTACACGGCTCTCCCGAAAGCCAGAAATGAATGTAAGGTAACGAAGAGTTAACAATTGAACAACGTATGAAATACAGGTGATCAACTGCTGCGTCCCCCTGGCAGAGACGTTAGGCTACTCGACGGCACTGAGGATAGCGTCCTCGGGTCACGCGACGTTCTCCATGGAATTCAACCGCTACGAACCGTTAGATTCGTACAACGAAGCGGAGGTGATCAAGAAGGTCACGGGAGTGATCTAGGAGCGAACGATGTCTGAGAGTAAAGAAATAAACGGTCACGTGACGACGGGATAAATGTGTAGACGAGAGCCTGGCGAACGGCTAGCTTCCCTTTCTCTCTGATCCTTTTGAATTCTCGTGTATTAATAAAAATCAGCGTAGTTCAACTTTACAAAGGTGTAAATTCGGTCGATCCAGCGTAAAAATCGTTTCACACAGACGGCAACAACGCTTACACCTAAGGAGGACAACGGCTCGCGCGTCTTATCCTCGATTAATTACATGCTCGGTTTCACATTTTTTTTATTCGTTCCAATCTAATGAAAATATATTGCAGCATTATCAATGGTGCGTTACAATCTTTCTTATACGATCGTCGTTCGCGGTCGCCGATCGCCGGGGCCGGGTGACCGGCGGAGCAAGAAACCCGAAGAGAGACGGAGAGGAGGAAATTACAAACTGCTGCTGCTGCTGCTGCTGCTGCTGCTGCTCTGTGGGACCGGTCCCGCGATCGGCCGCCGCGCATAAATATATTAATATTGCTTAAGATCATGCAAAAATGTCATACATAGTAAAATATATGTATGCGTATATATTATTATATGTATGGAGGGATTAAATGTTAAAAATGGGGATGAGACTTGCAACGAACACGTCGGTTGCACAGAAATCTTTCTCTCGGAAAAGTATTGCAAATGGGAACGACTCCAGGGGATGAAACGTTCGAGTGCGCCGGCGTCGCGCGCGGCACTCGTTCGCCAAGTGAAACGTACAATAAACTGGCGAGCGACGCGACGGTGCAATTCCGGGCGCGCACGCACGCACGCTCGCGTCGCCGTTGAGCCTTTCAAGATCGGTTTAACCTCCGAATCGCGCGGCAACGTTCGCGGCTCGATCGAGTCGGGCGCAATCCAAAGACGACGGAGTTCCCTTATCCCTACGTCAACACGTTTTGAGCTCTGGAAAATCGATTGCCTTGAACGGCGCGCGATCGTCGCGGCCAGTATAAAATCCTCTGTCGACATACAATTCGATTCCTTACAAAAAAGAGAAGTAGAACAAAGAGAACAAAAAGTATAGAACGAAGAAAGAAAGAGAACGAAGAGATACGTGACAATCTTATTAATATGCTCGGTCGTTACATCCTAATTTGTTTGCGTGAAACGTTACGAAGTTTAAATACAATTACATATCACTTGCGCGCGCATATAAAACCGTTATCGTCCACGAGAGGGTAGAAAATACAGCACGCGCGGAGAGTTTCTTAATTAACAAACAGCTCAGATATCGGCTCGACTTCTGGCCGCGTCTCGTTCGAGGTACATCATATATATATATATATGTTTCTTTTTCCATTTCGAAACGTTCTTTTCCCGTATCGGTCGCGAGATCAGTGTTTTCCCCATCGCGGAAGAGGGGAAAAGCGACGAGGATGCCTCGCTCGTCGCGCGCGTTCCCCGACCAACGTCGAGTCCTCGGGAAACGAGACCGATCCTCGCTGGCGGATCGCAGGGAAGGCGAAACCGGAATTCCCTCCCGAGGAACCGATCCGCGTCTCCGGGGCCCGAGGAGGAATTAAAAAAGTAAACGCAATTCGCCGGCGGAATCTCATGACAAGGGTAACCGTATCGGTCGCGAAAAGAACGCCCGTCGCGTACAATGAGAAACGGGAATATCGGGTGTCAGCGACATCCTTTTATTGCATCCTTCACGAATAAAAATCGCAGTTAGCGTTCGTCGACGTCCATCGACGGAACGGCGAGAGTCAACGTTTCCGACGCGTCTTGTCAACGACGAAACGCGTCGCGCGGGGTAGACAATATCGTTTTCCCGACGATTACAATAACAAAGAATGTCGGCGCAACAATCAATGGGGAGAAAAGACAAAATTCGTTGCAGAGGGTCTTCCGTTTAATACTGCCCAACAAAGATCAATAGTTTTCTCGTTTAGCGGCGTCGTATGGCAACAGCTGGCTGATGTAGAAAAGAAATTCCTCGCAAAGCTTCTCCTATCGCGTCATGGTTCCTACTGCTCCTCTTCGTCGTCTTCTTCATCATCATCATCAATCAACAATCATCCTCATCATCATCATCATCATCCTCCCCGCTCCCGTACAACCCTACGATTTCGTCCGCACACGGTTATTGCAGCAAATACACGTGACACCATTTCATTCCGGGTCGTCCTCGTTCGACCCGTACTCGAGGCCCTCCTGGCGTCACAAGCTGACCAATTTCGGCGGGTTGGCGTCCGGGGAGCTGAGGTCCACGGCGGATAGGTTGTTTCTCTGTTGCGTCGAGCAGGACGGTATCATGGGCGTGGAGACCGGCGTGAGGCCTGTGCCGCCTTCCATCAGCGACTCGAAGTTGAACGGTATGCCGCTGGTCGGTGTCGTGATCGGCATGCCCGCGACGTCCATCGACGGCTTCATGAACGCTGGCGTCTCCACCGTCTTGAACGGCAACGTGTCCGGCCGCTCCTTCGGCTCGCTGAAGATCGGCAACGAGTTCGGTCTGTTGTTGTTGTCGAACCCGACCGGCAGCGAGTTCGGCCGGTTCGGTCTGACGTTCGCGTTCATCGTCGTCTCCTGTTTACCCATCACGTTGTCGTTCTCGGTGAATTGATCCTCGGCCGGAAGGTCCGGCTTTATCACGGGCTTGATGTCCGGAGGTGACGCCGAGCGGAGCCGGCAAACCGCTCTGTGGGCTTCCAGGATGAACTCTAGCTCGTCTTTGGCCTGCTGCAGCTGGTGGATCTCCTCCTGCAAGCTCTGTTTCTTTTGTTCCAGACCCTCAGTCTCCTGCAAACGGAACGCGCCTGTTAGTTACGTGATTGTTACCTCTTCAAAGCTTTATCTACTTAACCAATTCTCTATCGAGGATTCTGATACTTGGCTTTAAGCTACTGCCTTTCATACCCTAACTGTTACATACATCTTAACATACCCTAAACTTTCATTGCAAGCCCTAAGATACCTGTCGACCTTTTAGCTACTGTACACTCCAGTAGCTTCTTTCTCTATCGACAGTTGTACACATACTCTAATCTAACATAATCATCATTCCCAAACCGTAGCAACAAGGTTAACACTAGAACTACCAAATGCATCAAATGACCCATTCCTACATCCCTTCCGCAACTATCTAAAAGGACCGGATGTTTCAAGGAAATGAGTAACGAAATTGATTGAAAAATACGCAAACTAAATCATAATTCAACTAAAATCTCAGCAGACTACTGGAGTTTCCATAGGCAAATGAAGAACTCTAACAGAATTAGTTCTAACATTGAACAGTACAATCCTATCAATCCTATCCAAAGCGCGAGCAATCAAGTCCTCCAAAGATCATCTCCGCTGATTGACGATCCAATAGATGATCTTACTTCTAGCAGGGCATTGGTGTGATCCATTCTTCGCTTGCGGCACCTCGCAGCTGCCATCTTGTTCCTCTCCCGGCGTATCTGCCTGCGCTCCTCCTCCTCCGGGGTCATGCCGATCGTTCTGGTGGGCCTTCTGCCGCCCATGTTGCGCCTCGCTGGCTGCTGCGGCTGCGGCTGTGTCTGATGGGGCTCCACGAGGGTGGTGTTCGTCGCTGCCACCGGGGCGGCACTCGCCGCGATGATGTGGTGCGTCGCCGTGTTTTGGGTCTGCGCCGGGGTCGGCTGCGACGGCTCGACCAGGGGCGGCACGAACCCGGCCTCGCGGCTGTGCGACGCTGACTCGCTGGTCAGCTCCAGGAACGTCTGCTCGATGCTGCGGAGCGTCGTCGGCGTCAGCGTCGGCGTCGTCCTCGTCGGCACGCCGCTGTGTAATCCGTCCAAGGATACCAACTGCAACGAAAAGACAATGGCCTGTTAATCACCGGTTCTCATTTCAACCCCTTGTCTTATTTCTTTCGCGACTACGTGCAACCATTTTGTTGCTTCTAGTTCGATAAAACGAGTGCAATTTTACGTTTGGAGAACTGCGATTGGTAATAGTAATATTTCAGTTGAATTCGAAGGGAGTAGATGACATTTGTGAAATTCTATTTAATGAAGACTTCAAACAGGATTAACCCTTAGCTGTCCGAAGTGCTCCTCTTTCTGACTTTGAGGTTCACGTCGACGTTAGTTCATTCGATTACAGTTTAATATGACGCTCTATTTATTTATTCAAGAATATTTGGGAGTCATTGAAACGTTACCTTTAAATGGTACAATTGTGATGCTACAAATATAGAAAAAATTGTTAAAACAGGTAGAGGTTGCAATAAAATAGAATGTCGAGTCTGATTCGACATAGGACTGCTAAGAGTTAATGAAGTTCTAATGAAGATTTCAGTTTCGTACGATGATGAGGCAAGTTAACGCGTTCCAAGGAGATTTCGGTTATATCTTGCTTATGAACTATATTGATTTTTCATAACATATTCAGTTATATTCAATTATATTTGGCAATTTTTATATATCTTCATATCATTCCATGTTCTCCCTTTGTAACACAATAATTACATCCTTATGTAAAGATATTGGGAAGTATCGATAGCCAATGCTTCCCAATATCAATCAGCTAACACAATCATTCCCAAAGCGTGAATGTAATGACTCTAAGTCTCGAAGCCCCTGACACCCGACTCGCGAGAAGTAAGCTCGAGTCCCGAAACCTCGAATTCGCTCTCGTTAATAGCCCGTAAACAATCTATCCGTCCATCTATCTAATCGATTCATCTATCCACGGTTCTGTCTATGTGTACCGGTGGCGCAAGGAGCGCGAGGGACGGCCGCGCGCACACAGAGCACGCGCGAGCGCGTTTCGGCGAGCGCGCAATACTGTTTGAACTCGGCCAGGTGCGACGAGATCATGAAACGGTTGGGAAACAAATGGTTTTCCGCTGGCAGCTGTGAAACGGCGAACGATTGCCTCTAGAGAATCGAACGCCGCGCGTTACACGGTAGCCGGTTGCCTCGCGGTTGCGCCGCGCGGCCAGAAAAACCCGCCGCGCGTTATCGACACCGGTAACTGCTTGAGCAACGCTTCGCGATTGCGTTTCGGTGGATGGAAAACCTCGATCGATCGGTGGGAAAACGAGGAGAATGGAATAGGGGATGCGAGAGTCGCAAATTTTAACCTTTTGACCTCGGAAGCTTGTCACTAGAAATACTCGACACTTTCCAATAAGACAGACGACACTATATGAAACGAACTAATGAGGAAGCATACGTAAACTAAGAAACAGCTATTTTATAGAAATATCTCACGTACTGACGCATTATACGAAACTTAGTATTATATACAACACTAATTTTGTTGCTTCTATTTCATAAGTTTCCAATTCGAAGGATATTTTGATCGTACGATTAATTTCTAGAATTCTATTGGAGATCCCGATGATTTGCACCTTCGAGCTTTGTAATAGGATTACATACTGTTGGTAATTTGTACGTTACGGTGAAGAATTGTGTTGACAGTTTTTCGGTCTTCGCTAGAGCCGCCATTGAAGTCGCAGGAGAGTTTGGCCAAGTGCGTACGAGGAAAAAAATACAACAAAGAGCCGATGGAAAGGTACGCGCGATCCGGGACACGCGTTATCGTTTCCTCCTCCCCCCCGGTGCCGCGCCACTCCGTCATTCGTGCCCGCGATATCGCGGGAGGCTTAATCCGGCGAGATGTTCCGATAAAAATATCCGTGATTCAATAGCCGATAAGCTATCGCGCGAGCCAGATAGATCGTCCGCGGGGTTACGTTCCAAGGTGTGCGCATCATTATCGTCGGCATCATCACCGCTAAAATTACAACGAATTATCGCGACGCTCCTAACGATTATCCCCGTTCCACCCCCCAACCGCGTCGCGTTGATCGGCGATCCTCGAAATCTGTTTACTCGTTCCGATCGCGGTCGCCTCGACTGAGAATAGCGATCGGTTCGAGCTTCGGACGGCGGGCTGGAAATCGCTGTCTAGTCTCCTCGGCCTTCCAGTTACTGAAAATCCAAGGAGAGACTGCTCGAGCGTGACAATGGACGGTTGAAAGTGATCTTTGTTCGCGGGTTCGGCTCGCCGCGCGGAAGTTTGGAGAGTTTAGAGAGACACTTTAAGGACTTTTCTGCTCGGCTCGAGGACGCGGCTCCGAGTTTCTCCGCGACTGACGAAATCGTGAATATTCTCAAGGACGGGACTCGCGTCTCTCTCGGACGCGACAGCCAGCCGGTAGCTAAAAAGCTAAATGGGTCAAAGAGGATAGAGCCAGTTCCTCCGAGACGAACTTTTGCTCGACAGGTTTGGAGCACGTCAGTTTCGAACGTTATAAACATTCTCCGGTAAACGTTCACGTGGATTTTGATCGATGCATCGCGTCTCGATCGTCTATTCTTGAGCCTTTGCGGACCAGGACTCTAAAGTACACAAAGCTTGTAACATGGCAGCTGAATTATCGAATAATTGCTATACTGATCTCTTGCTTCGAGTAAATCAATCGACAATCCTTCGCGACTTCCAAGAATGAATTTCAACTAAAACGACAGCAGAGTCGAGCCTAACTCCAGATCAAAATCAACGTTCTTCCAAGAACAACAGAATAAACACGTCCGTGAACCTATCCTTGATCAAGTAGTCTCCCAAATCGAGATCCGTGTTTGCGATTTTCACGCGGCGAAGGATGAATTCCCTTTTCCAGAACTCTCCTTCGAAAACGCGGATTCCTCCAGTCGCTCCGCTTAGCCGCGTGCGCTCGGACGTCACGGCGATAGAAAACCGATTGTCAGTCAGCGGACGGATTTCATCGCGGGGACGACGGTGTGCGTGCGCGTCGGTGCACAACGCGAGGAGACGAGCTCGGCTGTGTGGCGGTGCACACGACGGTATTAATGACTCGGCTCGAATCGCAGCTCACGTAGCGACGGAGAGGCTCGCGCGCGCGTTCGCCATTATCGCGGCGACCAATCGCCGCGCGGGACGTTTCCCAGAAAGCACAAAAGGACGCAGGAAGGAGAGAGAGCCGGCGCTGCGCGGAGCGGCGCGTCCTTCGCTCTCGTAAGGAGAGAAGCGACTACACGGAGGGACGAGGCTTCGCGCGCGCTATCATTTCTAAAATTACGATCCGCGCTCGGATCGTTAACGAAGGTCGAGCCCCGGTCGCTCTCGCGCGGTTCCAGGTGATCGAACGTCGCCGCCGCGGAATTCGCGTTGAGCGGACCGAGGAATCCGCGCGACGATCGCCGACATTCCGGCGACGGATTATGAAACCGATACGCGCCTTCTTTTCGACCCCTCGCGAGCCTGGGGTTGAAAACGAAAATTAGAAACTGGGTTTAAAATTGAAAACACGAACGAACCGGTCACCGGTGACCCCCGAGCAAATCGAATTGCTATACACTCAATTGAACGATGATTATTCGTAAACATTTCTATATTATAAACAATGATACCCATTGCGGTGACATTCAGTTCGATGAACGTGGAATGATTTTGTGTATTTTGCCCTATGAAATCGTGCGGCGTTCAACGTGTTAACGCTTGGCCGAGTGAACACGTGCTCGAAACAGTTTCCTTCGTTAAACAAGCTAAAAGGTCAAGATTCTTCGTAACAATTGCTCTTCCTCATATCTCGTAAATCCAACAAAATTCCAACAAAATAGTGTCAGCCAAATTTGACGTCAGTGTTAAGCATTTAGGAAGTTTGACTGATTTTGAAGCAATTATCCAAAGACGCATACTCTAGTTCCTGCATCTCTATACAGACGAACTATCTTTCTAGGAACAATAGAGCAAACTAGAATTCGTCCGTGAATCTATCACGCAGTGTCTCCGTTCCCTAAATATCCAAGCTTCCAAGCGAACCAGAAAATAATTTCATTCGGCGTTCCAAGTTTCCGAGTAAGATATTCCCGGATTTCGGCGGCGCGGAAGGCTCGTTCCGATCGAAGCGGCCAAAACGGAATCCAAAGATTCAATCTCGGCGCGGTGCACGCGCGTGACGATTAAAATTAGAAACTCGAACTTCCGTTTTCTCGTTTGTCAACGCGGAGTGTCGTTGTTCGCGCGTGGTCCGCCGAGGCGAGCGGAGAATTCGAAGCGTGGCCGGCCGCTGGCGGACGCGCGGCGATGACTCCGTGTAAATGGAATCCTCGGTGACCCCCACAGGTAGAGAGAACTCATTCGCCGGTTTTGGACGAAAATTTATCGCCGGTGTATTTTTACCGCGGAATTACGGTGCATAATCGGCGGTACCCCGCATCTGGCCGAGTGTCATCGCTAAAATTACTCCCGGCGCGCACACCGGCGCGGCGCGGCGCAACTTAAACGGGAGAGTAATCACCCACCCACAAAGTTCGCGGCCCACCCAACCGATACACACACCGCCGCCGCCTCGCCGCCTCGCCGTTCGGCCGCGCAACAAGTTCAAGAATGCCCGGTGCGATAAACTTAGGCGTTACCGAATCGTTACCGCCGCGGGGACGCGCACACCGGTTTCTGGAATTCCGACCTCGGGTCCCCACGAATTCCTCCACTTCCAAAATAACCATGGCGACCGTGATTCTCGGGGACACCGACGGCTACCATGATCGTTAGAACGTCTCATTTTCGTCCCTCCCGGGAGAGCGAGCTGTAAAATGGATCGGAGCAACCGTGTCCGCGACGGAGCTACCGAACGGGGAACGACCCGTTACCGATGCTTTCTGTCGGAATTTTTGGGATGACGTGGTTGATCCTTTGAGGAGCTACTGGTTAACAGGCGACTGCATAGAAAGAACTGTAACTACAACCTCCTCCGTTATCTTCGATTGAAGTTCAATCGGAAACTGTGTTTCGTAAGAACTGTATTTGATGGATTGCGAATAATCCGACTTTG